AAAAAAGAAAAAAAATTAATAGAGATGTATAATGTGTGTGTGTGTGTGTCATCAGCAGCGAAACGTCGTCGTAATAATTCGATAATTAATAATTAATAATCACTATATTTATTTAGCGCCTAATTTATTCCGTATCGATCATTTCGTTGTTGAAAGATAAGAGTATGTGTGAGAGAAAGAGAGAGAGAGAGAGAAAGAGTGCAAGAGAAAGAAAGAAAGAAAATATTTGTATGAAAAAGTAAAATATAAGTAAATAATATAACAACAACAACACAACACATAAAAAATAAAGAAAATGAACGATCTTTTCGTGAAACAAAAAAAAAAACAGAAGCATATTATAATATGATCGATCGGAAAAAAAAAATCAACTTTTATTCGAAAATAATTATTAGTAATTAATCGAATATGTAAAGAGTGATTATATAGGGAATGATTGATAAAATTATAATAGCTAAACAAATAGAAGCAAAGAAAATGATAATAAAACGATTATGATGATTATTTAGAAAAACGTGTGCACATGATACGCACGATTTGTATCATACATTGATACATATAAACGTTACATTACGTGTATATATATCTATATATATATACACATATATTTACACGTATGTGTGTATACACACAGGTATATATAAGTTACATATATACGTAAAATATACATATACAAAAACACATTCATCTTTACCGATAATGATGATGATGATGATGTTGATAATGACTAAAAATAATGATTATTACTTTATTAATTAATTAATTAATTAATTAATTACTATTATTAAATATTATTATTAATTATTATTATTATTATAAAATTACGAAGATAAACATAGTTTTTATTATCTTATAAACGTAACGGATAAATATTGTGAGTTGTTCTTTTTTTCACTTCACTTTCTCTTTAAGCGTGTAAGAGTTGAAGAATAAGTTTCAATGATTCTTCATTCTGAACTCTTGCACGTAATATCACTAATACATTCCACGTATTTACGTTTTATTATTTTCTTTATTTTTTATTTTCTCTCTTTATACGTATAAGAAAATAATTTTTTTTTTTTTTTATCATTGGATAGTACTTTTTAATTTTGTTTATATTATATATATATATGTATTTACATATATATATATCGCTTTTTATTGTTCTTACAATTTTTCTTTTTGCAATTTTGTCTTTCTTATCGACGCGTGCGCAAAGCAAAAACAAAAAAGAAAAAAAAAAGAA